CGGCCCGGACCCCCAGTCCTACCGACCACGAGATGTGTTGCATTGTTATTTCCCTTCTAACATCTTATCTAGCTACTCCCATTAATCATGTAACTGCCATTCATCTATACTACACTATTTTATTTTCAGACTAATTCAGTTTGTGTTATGTTAAAGTTACAAATAATGCAACATGGATATTATTACTAAACATTTCAATTACATGTGCTATTTAAATAATAATGTTAAAGAAAATGACATTGAGGAAGGGGATTTAAGCCTCCCCTCGGACAGGTCAATCCCCTTGTCAGACCATGGTGCAAGCATGTTCTGAAACATTTTAAAATTTTCCAGGTACCAGTACCGGGGCACTTGGCTTTACCCCTGGACCCCACTTGAAATTGTCAAACCCCTCTGTCAGACAAATCCTGGTGCAGCCAGCAAAATGGTTCATGTTTTGACTCTGTCAGCTGGAGGATTTATGCCTACATTTTCAAATAACTTTAGGGTTTTTTTTTTAATAGGTTGCAAAAGAGAGGCAAACACCATCTATCTCTAGCCAAGCTACAGATGTATCTGTGTCTTCTAAACCACAAACACCCGTTGATAAGCCTGTAGCATCTTCACCTGTAATCACACCAGTGCCTGACCCAGCCCCTGCAGCCCAAGAAACAGCCCCTCCCTCTGAGGCAGAGAAACAGCCATCTGTTGAACCAGAGCAAACTGCCAACAAAAATGTAGCACCAGAAGAAATACAGAGCCAACTTGAGAATAAAACTGGTGAAGATACACAAGAAGAAGCAATGGCAGATACTAATCAAGAAGGTGATATTACTAACAAAGCTACTGAAGATGAAGCTAAAGACCAACCTGGCGAACAAGACCAGGATGATAATAAGCAAACTATAGCAGAAGACAAGCTATCGCCTAAAACGATGGCCGATAGCTCAACGCAGGATTAACAATTTTTTGTACGACTTATTTTCTTTATGTGACAATATTGAACTTGTAAGATATTAATAAATATACGAATAAATATTATACTTCCATCCATTTCTATGATTGTGGATACATTTCTGTGGAATTAAATATCAAATTTTACTTGTTAGCATTTTTCAAATCAGATGGAATATAGCATTAAATGTTAGAAAACTTATTCTCTGTAAATATATATTATCATGTTAGATTCAGTAATATAATGTAAATATGAATAACTAATACTTCCATCCATTTCTATTATGGTCTATACATATCCTAGGAATTGAATTTTTATTAAATTTTATTTAAATGCATTTTTCATTTAAAATCAATTGTCTGATTACCCTATTACTGTACATCATATTAAGATTCTGTAATATATAGAAAATATCTTTCATTAGAAGATGAATAAAATAACTATAATAAAATAACTATAATAAAAGTTGATATTGGTTATGTGCAAAGTTTCTAATATTTAAAAAAAACTTTTAACTAGAATTTTGTCAGTACAGTATGTCTAGTAACATAGGTAGTTTCAGTCATGTGATTCTTATGATGGGCGTGGATCAAATACTGTAACTTAAATATTACAGTATCATTAAGCAATTATTTGTTTATAAAGACCACATAGAAATTGATTCATGTTTGTTTGACCATAACGTAATTGCACTGTACTACCATGCTACTGACAAGTTCTTTCTTCATTTCAGTATTAATTGTCAATGTCAAACACTGTAAAATATATGGTTTGAAATTCAGGTTGTTTGTTCAGATTTAAATAAAATCCATATATATATACTTAATGATACAATCACCTACTAAAATACACAACACATACATCCCATCATAAAGTGTTAAAATGTAAAGCTTAAAATTGTAAAAGTTAAAATGGTAAAAATTGGCTAAAAGAGGTCTCAACATTCCTAGCAAAGAGGCATAAAAGCACTATGTATAAAATGCATTTTAAAAATGTATAGAGTTTGGCATAGACCTAATTATCTTTTCCAAGTAGCATTAAATTGCCTCATAGCACCTAGGGAGAAATGAAATTTAATTGACTTTCATGTGGAGAATAAGCATGAGTGTTATTTATAGTGCTATACAAATGTTCATTATTATTATTTTTAATACTGTAGCCTTGAACCATCTAAAATTTCAGTGCATTTTGGATGTACAACAAATCAATGATCAACAGTTTAAAAATAACAGAATGTTATTGATGCGCCCATTGCTGTATTCAATTGTACAAGTACACAATAAAACTGTTTGAACACTCAATTTCATTAAACGTTATATATTTATTCAGTGATTCACTCATATTCTTAAGATTTACAACAATTGACAATTTTAAACCTAGTTATCAGCAACTAAAGTTAAACACTAAACATTGATTTTTCACAATAAATTAATCTAACATAAAAGCATTTGGCCAATAAATGCGATATGACATTACCATGTCCATATTTGGTGAGCATACTGACATGGTGAGTTTATCAAGGAGTGAGGGGGCCTTGGATATGATTTTTATGAGTAGCCGCCTATTCACTGCAAGCATTTTTTCCCATCTCCCCTGACACCTATCCCTGTAAGATGTACGGTACTGTCGCTGGTTAAATATAGAAAACCTACAATATTACTATTAATTGCTCATTGAAGGATCAAATAAATTATAAACTTTTTTTAACGGGATTATTTTTTTTTTAAATATACACTTATCATGTGTCATTTTGCACAAAAATCATTATTCTTAACTTAGTCTTTATTAAAATTGACCTTAAATTGAAACCAAATTCAAGGATCAATGCACAGAATCCAAGAGAAGTAGTACTGTATTACATTAAGAAGCTTTGAATTTGTGAGATGGCGTGACCCTATGACAGATTCACTCATCTGTGATTGCTCCGCATTCTATGCGCAACGTAAATTCAGGCCACACTGCATCCTAGAAAATCAGACACAAAAATGACTCGGCATCTTTCCATGCGCAATGAATTCTGAGTGACGGCATTCCGTTCTAGATCTTACCGTCGTCACAAAATCTAAAGCTCAATGTTAATAGGCAAGAAAAATATTAATCATTATGCCCATATATGGGCATATCCTACAAATTTGTACATAAACTTTGATAGTGTGAACACGGCTTTAATAAAAACAAATTTCAGCCACAAACAGGCTGAATGTTGCTAATGATATTTGCACTATGAACGATAAACACAAATAAAAAGTAGTAATATTAATTATAATACTGTAATGGCAAGCCATCTGCAAGTCACAACCATTATTGTCCCACTACCACCTGCATGTACTAGTCTACATAAAACACAAAGTACTATAAATGAAAACTACTGCCAGCTCAAGCTGAAGGATGGGATGATAAACAAATCACGATGTTGTAGACACTGGTCTTCGAAATAACAAAATATGGGGTTCTGCCAAAGAAAACAAGATAAATAATGTATAAGTACTTAAAAACATCAAAAAAGGGAAAAAATGGCTTAAAAATTATAGAAAAATATCATCATTTCTGGGGTGGATACAGGATTTTGGCGGTAGGGGGTGCATGAAAAGTTGACCTCAGCCCCGCCATAGTTGGAGCGGAGGTGAGAAAATTTTGAAAATATGGACCTCTAAGTGCCCGGAAATTGCCTTAAAAATCTTACCGGTACTAGGCCTATGTATCAATACAATACAAGAATTATGTTTCTTAAAACAATTAGAAGGGGGGAAGGTGCGACCACACTGTCTGCACCCTCTCTGCATCTGCCCCAGTAATTTATTAGAATTTACAAGGTTAGCTAGTTATTGTCATATAATAAGATTTTATAAAATAAACATGTTATATTATTGTTTATAGTATTTATTTATTATTTGTTTATTTATATTATTATTCATTTGTTTCCTTTATAAATATTGGTTACCTGGGGAGTGTATCAGATAATGAATCCAGCCTGGACTCTGCTGAACACCAATATTGCGCCATTCAGTCTCCGTCATCAAATGGTTTCTAGGGACTAGCTTGACAATCTCCGGGGGTAGAATCACGTGCCTTTTTAAATAAAAGGATCAAAACACATTTTTTAATTTAAAATAAATACATATATACATAAGCCTACATACATACACCATTAACAAGTGAAAACAAGCATAATCAGATCCAAGGACACCTGAAAAATAACGTTACATTATTCCTTTTTTTTTGCATCTAATAAATTACATTAATCACATTCTGTTAACGCAGTTCAATTTATTCTGTGAATATTATTTCCGTTAATAAGAACAATAATAATAAAAAATTGTGTTTTAGAGATACTGTAACCTACCAGAATTGTGTTAAATGTCTTCGAATCAAAGTAGAAGTAACTTTTTAGATATTCTGTATATAATTTCAGTAAATAACATTTGTAAATTTTGAATAAAACAATTGTCCCATCTACGTACAATAGTTTAATCAACCTAAGCTGGAATTCATCGAAGCTAACACTTGTTGTTACAGTATTTGCATACTTGATAACAGTGCGCACTCTCTTTTGTCTGGTAATAAACAACATCGTTGGCATTGGGAAATATGCAGTTGGTAGGTAGGTTCGCAGAGCATGCATTTTACCCAAAGCCGTAATGCTTGGATATTGAAACAAAGGTCAAATAGGTCACTACGTCATTAGTTATTCATTAGCTTATCACACGTGTGTCACTTGCAAATTACTAACTTGTTCCATGCGTGTCTATATGTCGAACGTTCTGTGATCAGTACTGTATATATA